GCTCTGGCAAAGCCTCAGAAGCGCGGGAACCCGCCCGGTGCCCCTGGTCTGCTGGAGACGGTCTCCAGCAGACCAGGGGCACCGGAGCAGCTTACCAACGGGGCTTTCTTGCCCCGACTTCCGGGGCGAGAAAGCCCCGTTCGTAAGTGCGGATCCGATGTAAGTCGGATCCGCGTAAGTCGGGGACTGCCTGTATATGTTAGAAACTTTTAGAAATGTTTAGTGTATGTTTAAGAACTTTATTGAATAACAATATTTGACTTTCCTTACCTTTAAGAATAGGAGTCTCAATTACCATATCTCAGTTGGAGCAAAATTACAAATAAATTTAGAGGGGAAAAGTTCAAAATAACACATAACTAATAGCATTTTTAAACAAAAAAGGTCATATCTTTAAAGTCCAAATTTGGGGGCTTCTGAGTCTAGTTGGGAAGCTTGGAATAGCTTCTTATCAGTAGACTAATGTTCCAATTCCTAGCCCTGAAAGGTTGAGGAATATTAGACTTTCAGTTGGGCAGAGGACAGGTGAAGCAGTTAAAGGTGAGTAGTAAACTTTACTTTTAGTCTGCAATTTATCACGTGAATATCACTTTTGCTACATTGTCTGTATAGAATTTGTGCTGTGCCATAATAACCAACATCCATTTAACAAGCTGGTTTTAATATTTTTTCTTTTTCACAGTCCTGACTATAATGTAGAATTCTTCCGGCAATTTACATTGGTTATGAATGCTTTGGATAACAGAGGTGAGATTTCCATTTTTTATGGCTTTAGTTTTGAGGTGAAAGAAATGTGAGCTGCACGTAGAAGAGAGAAGCCAAAAATGACTTAGTTGTGGTGCCAGTTCTTTTTCACTCTCTTTACAGCCTCAATTAAATAAGTGATTCTGTCTCTCTTGCCACCTGCAAAATGAGGCTACTGCTTACCTACATCATTAGGATGGCTTTTAGGTATACTTCATATTTGTACCTTTTGGACTTTAAAAATGGTGTATATGGTAAGAGCTAAGAATTAAGTCTGTCCTTCATGGTAGGAAGATCCCCTTGAGATATATACATAGCTACACTTTAGTTGGAGGTTACTATATTGAAAACAGGTTGTAATACATTGTTCTACCTGAAAGGTATTATGAGAGAGGCATGGTGGTGTGTAAAATTAAATGAGGTAGATGCAGGTATACATTATGCAGAAGGTTACTCTCCAGCCTTTCCAAAGTTAAAACATTCTTTTTTTAGTTAATAATCAACAGTTGAATCCTGAATGCTTTTTCTTCAGTGCTGGCCACTGTCGGCAGACAGGATACTGGGCTAGATGGACCTTTGGTCTGACCCAGTACGGCCATTCTTATGTTCTTATGTATATGTTCCAGCTGCACGTAACCATGTGAATAGGATGTGTCTGGCTGCTGATGTTCCTCTTATAGAAAGTGGAACTGCAGGCTACCTTGGACAAGTAACAGTTATCAAAAAGGTTAGTTAGTATAACTTTTTCTTGTTTGATTAATTGATTCTTTTGGACAAGATAGGCTGGATAATTGCCTTTATATTTACTTAAGTAAACACTTTACTTTTCCTGAATCTGTAGGGAGTAACAGAGTGTTATGAATGTCATCCTAAACCAACTCAGAAGACTTTTCCAGGTTGCACAATTCGCAACACTCCATCAGAACCTATTCACTGCATTGTGTGGGCTAAGTATTTGTTCAAGTAAGTGAATATATTTTAAAAAAATAGCTTGTACGTTATGCACTATTTTCTAATTTCTAAATGTATCCCAGCAACAACAAAAAATTAAACTGGGCAAATTAAAAATTACTTAACATCATCCTTTTTTCTTTTCCAAATTTCAGCTACTTTTGAGGAATGCACTGAAAACCATGTTAGCTTACCCAATCTTTTTCACTTTACTGACAGAATAAACGCCAAAAACAGACTGATATTTTAATATCATAGCGAGAAATTGGCCAAAACGTTTCTTAGACACCTAAGTGCCAAAAACAGACTGATATTTTAATATAGCGAGAAATTGGCCAAAACGTTTCTTAGACACCTAAGTGCAGGTTGATTAGAGGTGTGTCTGCCTATTGCTTCATTATAAATCGTGTTTTGTGGAAAGCCAAAGTATATTTGTTACCATCATTAATTAATCAGTTGAAGAAATGTACTGTCTTTTTAAAGGCGCCAACATACTTCAGTATAAATAAAAGGGATAGACACAGTATTGTTGGAGTTACCTTAAATTACCTCCTCATTTATATAAAGTTGGCTTTTACCGCTCATGTGTTTCCATTTAGGAAACTACTATTTAGCTCTGTGCTGTCTTGCTAAAAAGAACATAATTTAAGATTAGATGTCACCTGCAAGATCTCAGTTTATCATCAGGACTAAATTTCCAAGCTAGAGATTTATTATTTTAAAAGTTCTCTTCCTTTTGTGTTGACTGATAGCAGTAAAACTTGTAAGCTTTGGGGAAAACTCTCTCAACAGACATCTGAAAGACAACAAATACTAACTCCCTATGTGCCTTAATTTTTGGTTATAAACTGCATTACAATGGTAGATGACTTTCACTTCCTTTTGAGCCAGAACAGAGAAGTAGAGGTGGTTTTTGTTTCTTGCTTTTTGTTTCAAATATCAATTCCTAGTCAAAGTCTTGGTGTTCCTTCAAGAGCTTAGGTCATGCAGCCTTAAAAGAGAATTGCCATGAGATGAACTATTTTATTCTGGATTTATTTCTGTTCATGGGACAGATGAATAGTTCTGCTGCAGGATGGGACTAGTTAATGTCTCAACCCATATTTGTAAGAACTTTTCATTTAGAATTCCATTCTTCACTTTATTTTGCTTCTATTGAAATATAGACTATAGAGGCACATGTAAACTACATTCCTCTGTCGAAAGAGGAATGTAAATGAGCCCGATCAAAAAGGCAAATGAAGCACGGACTTACAAATCTCGCACTTCATTTGCATAATCACATGAAAGCGCTTTTTTGAAAAAGAAAACGCAATCTAGATGGGGTTCTTTTGGGGGGGGAACCCTTTTTTGAAACAACCTGTACTTCAAAAAGGGTTTTTTGAAAAAGAAGCCATAGTCTAGACAGGGTTCTTTCCAAAAAAAACCCAAACCCCTTTCTCAGGATTACGGGTTCTTTTGAAAAAGGGTGGTTGTTTTTTTTGTTTTTGTTTTTGTTTTTGTTTGGTTGGTTTTTTAAAATTTTTACTTCCTGCAGATCAGCAAGCGTCTTGTTCCCAGAATAAATGTTCCCACACAAGAGTCAGAGCTTAAAGTTGTTCACGCTATTATGCAAATGAAGCGCAAGATTTGTAAATCCCTGCTGCATTTGCATTTTTGATCAGGCTCATTTACATTCTTCTTTCGACAGAGGAATGTAGTTTAGACATAGTCTAGGTGTTTTATATTCTTGACCTCTAATTCTGTGTGACAGCAGCTAGTGTACAATCTGAACTGTTGAACAGCTGTATCCTCTTAATTCTCTAATCTAGGTGCCTTTTATACTGCTTCACTATGAGAGCAATCACTCTTGGTTTGCCATGCACAGCCTCCAGAATATAAATTACTCTCAGCTATTTTGTATGAGTTCTGTAGCCCACCACTCTTTAATTACATTTAAGTACAACATCAGGATATTCCGAGTCCCAAATTTTTCCCCAAAACTGTGACTTTTCTTGGACAACACAAGTTCATATAATCATTTCATTAATATATAATGATATGCAGGGCTCGCAAAGCGGCAGTGAGCCCCGTTGGCCAGCCGCGTGGAATCACACGCTGCGCCTGCGCTGACCCCGCTTCACGGCCGCGCTGGGCTAAAATCTCGCCACGGGCGAGTAGATTGCCCTAATTATCGAGCCCTGATGATATGCACAAATCTTGTTGTAACAAGTGAAGCTTCAATCCAAACATACTGGTTTAGATAAAACAAATGTATTAATTATAGAAAGAAAAATTACTACAAGTAATGAGGCATTAAAGTCAGAAATGGTTACAAATACATAAAATGTAAAAACAACTGATACTTAACTTAACAAGCTAAGTGAATTCAAAGTGGAGGGGGGGGGGGGGGGGGGGAAGGAACTGACTGGGGCCGAAAAACAAAAATAGAGGATTTTCCCCTCAATTCAAAGTTGTTTGTTTGTTCCCCATGGATTGTGGTTGCCATGGGTAAAGAGAAAGGGAGGAACCACTTGGGGCTTCTGTTCCTCATTTTTATCCTTTTCTTCCTCTTTGAGAATCATCTCCAGCTAGGATTCAAGAGACAAAGTCAGTGAGGATAGGAACTTCCAGACATTTTTTTGCCAGCACATAAATTTCTCTCACCTTTTTTCTGACAAAGAATGGCTACTTAATCAGGTGATGGTCTATTTGATTTCCTTGACACCTGGCTGAGGCATCAGTTTGCATTTTGTCTCTGAGGAACTGGCTTGTGACTACTTTTCCAGATTTAGAATATGTCTTCATAAAATTTTGCTGAATGATGAATTTTTGTACAAAGTTTTGGCACACTCATTATACTAGCACAATAATGATCAGCAAATTATGAGTTTTCAAATGCTACCACACAAGGTGTACTTTGTACAAAATTTGTTATAGACTTGAAAAAGAAATGAACATAGGGCTACCAACAGTCACACTGCATATGGCTGACTTTTTAAAATAAGTCTGTTCTTTTATCAAATTATGCTCCTTTCTCATAAGATTTTCTGTATCATTTTGGGGTTCAAATACATTTGGTGTATATATCACATTTCCATACTATAGAAGCTTTGAGAAATTATCCTGTGGGGGCTTCTCACACTATAAATGCTAGGCTGTGCGAAATGGAATTCTTATAGCAAAACCTGAGAATCCAAGATTTAATACATCTGTAATAATCAGGTAAAATAGACTGAGATAAATAAAGCATTTATTGCTCATTTTTATGACCGGCTTTGGAAAAGTAGATACAAATAAGGAACTCCTTACTTACTTATCATGTGATGCTAATCTAATGCTTTGTTTTCTAAATACATAGTCAGTTGTTTGGTGAAGAAGATGCTGATCAGGAAGTATCCCCTGACCGAGCTGATCCTGAAGCTGCCTGTGAGTGACGTAAATCAGTAACTTAATTGTATTTCACTTGGGTTAATCAAAATGCCATATTACGTTTTACAGCTTCAATTAATGATAGTCTATTAATTGAAGATCATGAGAACTGTTTTCTTTTCCTTCTCTTTTGGATTCTCTGATAGACCAATGGATTGCAGGGGGGTGGGAGGGAGAACCTCAGAATACTTCAGGACAATGTTCAGTTCTGCTCCCTGGATAGCTTTATTCATCCATGATGAATAATGTGTTGGGTCACCACTTTCTTTTTTTTAATTAAAAAATATAAACAACCTTTTATTTTATAGGGGAGCCAACAGAAGCAGAAGCGAGAGCAAGAGCATCTAACGAAGATGGTGATATTAAACGTGTTTCAACCAAGGAATGGGCTAAATCAACTGGATATGATCCAGTTAAACTTTTCACTAAGGTAGGTAGCTGTTTTGCTCACAATAAGTGTTTTTTTCTAAAATATGTGCATTACTATAAACTTAAGCAAAAGTTTTCAACTTAAATTCTTAAAACTGGCAATCAAATCTCATTATTTAAGAAAAATAATAAACATAAGACACTGACAGTAGTTCTTGTTTTAGCATCATGGTCCTACCATGTATACTTTTCCTAATAGAGGAACAGTTACTAGCAGCCTCTGTTGCACCAGAGTAATGACACTAAATGGTAGTTAACTTTACATCTGACACAGTTTATTTTTAAATAGGAAAATTTCAAAAACTAGTTTTGGGCTATATGATATGAGCAGGGGCCAATATGAGTATGCGACTGCTCTTCTTTGTGGTCTGTTTGCAACCAGGAATAGAGATGTGGATGCTATTTTAGAGTCTCTCTAACAAGTTACCTCTAGTGAACAAAAGGGTAGGATCAGGCATGATAAGTATTCTGATATTAAGCAGTGAGAACTGTTACTATAGTCCTTAGAATTAGAGAAGCATTTAAGTTGACATATAGGTAGAAATGCCCTTTAGGCACACAAACACTGAAGTAGTCATTGGAAGTAGGAGTATGTGTGTGTGTGGTATCGTTATTCCCTTGCCACTTTGTGGATGATAAAATATTGTTGGTGCTAAGGACTGCTTTTTTCTACTTTATATTAAATAGTTAATGTTTTAGACTGCAGGGATTGGCAGTAGTTTTGCAATATTTATTTCTCCTTTGTGCCTGCTTGAAATGAGGGGGCATTTGTTATATAATTTTAACCACTGTCTGGGCAAACATGCTCTCTGGTAAAGAAACACAAACTTTTAATTGTAATGATTTAAAAATGAAATAAAACAAGGTATATATCTTTAGTGTCCTTCTGATTTTTCATATTGTTGTCTAGCTTTTCAAAGATGATATCAGATATCTGTTGACAATGGATAAACTGTGGAAAAAAAGGAAACCTCCAGTGCCATTGGACTGGACCGAAGTACAGAATCAAGGTAATCTTTTTTCCTTTCATTTTTTATTTGTTCTTGCATTGTAGCTGTTGAAATACAAATTTTAAATTTGTTTGATTCTTTGAAAATATGGTATACCATTGTAGCTGTTTTAAATACAGATTTTAAATTTGTTTGATTCTTTGAAAATGTGCTGTTTGTGAAATGAAAATGCCTTTCTAAATTTGACTTGTACTTGCTATTTCAGGTATTAAGTACACAATTATTTAGTTCTCATATTAAAAACATGTATGGTTCAGGTGACGCCTTATAGACTGATATTCTCAGTTGTAACGTTCAAATATTATTTAAACTATATTTTGACATACTGAGATTCTTTAGACTCCTTTCTGTGTTTGTATTAGTTACAGCAATTTTGATTCTTCAGTAGACTTATTGATATGAATACAGGCAGTCCCCGGGTTACGTACAAGATAGGGACTGTAGGTTTGTTCTTAAGTTGAATCTGTATGTAAGTCGGAACTAGAGTCCAGATTCAGCCACTGCTGAAACTGACCGCCAGTTATGACTTACATACAGATTCAACTTAAGAACCTCAAGTCCCCAAGTCAGCTGCTGCTGAAACTGATCAGCAGCTGATTTCAGGAAGCAGCAGCTGACTTGGGGACGCCTGGGGCAGACCACCTTGGGAAAGCCGTGGGGGAAGCCGGCAAGGGGGCAGCCCAGGCGCGCCTGGGCTGCTCCGCTGCGCGAGCCCCTCCGCAGCTTTGCAAAGGGACCAGGGAGACGCGGAGCAGACCAGGGAGACGCGGAGCAGCTTTTCTTGCCGGGGAGTACACGGGCGGCGAGACCGCGCGGTCCCGCAGTCCGTGTTCGTAACTGCGGATCCGACATAAGTCGGATCCGCGTAAGTCGGGGACTGCCTGTATACTACAGTTCAGTTTTTGAAAATGCAGAAGTAAATAGAGATTTGTTATAAAATATTTCAGCCACTGTAGTTTGTGGATTGTAATTGCATTTTCTAGATTGACTACAATTTTACTAAAATTGGCAAATCTGACATGTTTAAAAAGACTTCTGTGAAATTCTTAAATATTTATAATCTTTTTTTGTTGTTGTTTTCATTTTGAAGAGAAAAACACATCTGAGCAACCGAATGACTCCTCCTTAGGCCTGAAAGACCAACAGGTTCTGGATGTCAAGAGCTATGCACGCCTGTTTTCAAAGAGCGTTGAAACTCTGAGAGTTCACCTAGCAGAAAAAGGTGATGGAGCAGAGCTTATATGGGATAAGGTTAGTTAAGAAGATGTGTAGGAACTGGTTATATGCTAAGTAAATGTGCTATTCCGTTATTAAAGGCTTAGTTTGATTCTAGAGTAACACTTCTAGAAACAAAAAAATAGGTCTAGATATTCATGTGAATGTATATTTGTATTAAGCCTTTATACCTGGGGAAGGTGCAGGGCTGTTCACATTCCCACTTTACCTATCCTGGTCCACACCAATCCTTTGCCAGAACCTTGCCCTCTCCCTTCCCCACCAATGGAGCCGGGGGGAGGGGTTATAAAAGGGCAGTGGATTTACTCGTGGTCACACATTCCACAGAAGGAGTAAATATTTGAAAGTAAGATAATTGCTTTTAAGAGTTGACACATCTGCTAGAGCAGTGTGGAGCATAATGTTATTTTGTTAGTCAGTAAAGAGATGGTAGTACCTTTTATTGGACCAACAGAAGTTGCTTCAGTAAAAGATATTATCTCACCCACTCTCTCTCTCATAGCCTGGGACCAATATGGCTAATAGAACACTGTGGAAAAACAATGTCACATCTATTAAATTCCTCTCCAAAATAGACCCTTCCACAGTGGTAGGGATTAGGGATGCTAAATGGCATTAAATCAGCTAATTGACTAGTCGATGGAATTTCCATCAACTAGTCGATTAGTTGATGGGGGGGACTGCAGGGATGCAGCGGAGTCAGTTCCCGATTCCGGCACCTAACCCTGTTGTGGCTCTGCCTTTTAAATGTATTAAGAGCTTGTGCCCAGTCCCCCACTATATCTCTGCTTCCCTTGCAGAGATGGTGCTGGGGAGGCTTTTAAGCCTACCCTCTCGAGCACCGGCTCTTGCTCCCCCTGCCCCGCCCCGCTGCCTCTCTCTGATAGCGCCCTCTCGAGCACCAGCTCTTGCTCCCCCCGCCCCGCCCCGCTGCCTCTCTCTGATAGAGGCAACAAGAGGGATGGGAAGCAACTAGTTGAGTAACTAGTTGATTAGTTACTTACATCCCTAGTAGAGATGGAGCCAATTACAGTGCAAAGCTAGTGCAAAACTCTAAACATAAATGTCTGATATAAAAAAATATTTTTTAAAGAAAACTGAGCAACAGAAAGTTGATCTGGCTATTATAAAAAATGTGATCTTTTCAGTGAGCTATGGTTATCTGAGTTAAAATGAAAAGCAGAGATTTTCTCTTTTTAAATGACCTCATGACATTTTAAGCATTGGGGGCCGTTATCTGGTTTATCAGAAAAGGCCACTTGCTGTAGCAGTTTCAAACCTGGTAAGTTTGGGGATATTAATTCAGGTTACCAGAAGAAAGGAGGGGCTATTAGTGTCCACGCTGGTCAGGAAAACCCCTCTTTATCTGCACCAAGCGGAGAAGAGCCCATCCATAGAGGTAGTTGAATACCAAGTGTTGTCATTATTTACTATGGGCATTACACTAGTTGTTCTTTGGGGACTGGGAAAGCATTTTTCCCTTATTGCCAGATTGGCCCAGACAAGGTAGATTTAATTATTGCCTTCCTTACAGCTTGTTGGGAGCAAAAATTATTAGCAGAGTTTAGGCTATGATGATGCAACTCATTATGTAATCTTGGGGTGGTTGTCCGACGCAGGTACTCCATTGGGAAGGTGATCAGATAAAATTGGTAAGGAACTTAAAGGAGGTACTCCTTAAAGGAGCAGAAGGAGGACAGGGGTTCAAGACTTCTCTGACTGGCATGGCAGGGAGTAAATCCATTGCTCTTTTATAGCCCCTTTCTCCATTCGGGACAGGAGGGGCAACGTCCTAGCAGCAGGTTGGCTGTGGGCCAAGATGGATAAAGTGGGAATGTGGACAGCAGACCCTCCTCCCCCAGGGTATATGTATTTGATAGTGAATTAATTTAACTGTGCAATTTTATCTGCCAGGTACTTCCTGATATTTGGGAATAAAGTTGCAGCCTAATGAAACCACATCCAATGTCTCTTGTCCTTTTTCTGGCATAGTTGAACAATGGTCTTTCTGCTGTAGACTTGTATAATAAAAAATGTGAATTGTTGTAGGGCTATTTCGGGGGGAAAAAGGTGGTTTGAACAAAGTATAAAATATGGATGGCAAAGAGCTGTTAATAGAAACAACATACTAGAAGAATCAAATTTCAGACTGAATTATCAGTGAATCCATGATGTCAATATAAATATAAAGAAACAAAATTAAAAAATATTACTTTATTCACCTTGTCTTCTCTAATATCCTGGCTCTCTAACTAGGCTACAACCTACACATCATAGAATAAAGTTTAAACTCGGCTTTTTAAAAAATAATAGTTAAGATGTCAGATCTGTAATAGATCATGTAAAGTCTTAATTGGAAATACACTTTTTAAAAAAGTTACCTCTAAAGTTCTAATCCTGCAAGCTGCTATACATCAGCATACTTTTGTGACTATGTAGAGCAGCTTGCAGGATCAGGATCTTCACTTAATCATGAAGCCATAAATTCAAGATTGTTGAAAATATCATGGTTGAAAATATCCAGTACAAAATATAGGAAAATAGTTTATGTTGTATTTTAGGGACTTACCCTACCGGCAGTTGTGTTTGATAAGTAGAACCCTGAACTCCATAGCTTGGCTGCTAAGTGACAAAGAAAGATATCTTTATTTTTCATTGGATGCCAGTGTGATAGACCAAGGGTCACAGGTTTGGGAATTAGGAGGTCCTGAATTCTAATCCTGGCTCTGTTATTGACTTGCTGTGTAGCCCTGGGCAAGTCAGCTCAACTGCCCTTTCTTAGTCTTATTGGAGATAAGATATTTATCTATTTTCAGGGATGTTGTGATTAGTGTCTAGAAGTTGCTTTGAACATTTAAAGCAAATGTTTAGTATTTACAAAATACATTTACAAAATACAAATGCTTAGTGTTTAGTAAATACATTTACAAAATACAAATGCTTAGTGTTCATAATATTTGTTTAAAGTACCACACTGTCTAAAAGTTGAAATGCAATACTGTTTGAAAGAAGAAATGCATCAATTTGAATAACTGTGTATTGTACAAAGTCTCTCAAATTGTCTGTTTATGGTAATAGACTTTTGCAAACATTTCATCCAGTTTAAAATATATTCTGAAATGTTTTGTTAAACTTGTTGGCAGGATGACCCATCTGCAATGGATTTTGTAACTTCTGCTGCAAACCTCAGAATGCACATTTTCAGTATGAATATGAAGAGCAGATTTGATATCAAGTGTAAGAATAAAATTAATAATGTCTTCATTAAATGAAGTATTTTTCTCTAGCATTCTTTTTAAGGTTCACACACTGAAAAAAAAATCTCCTTTTTTTTTTGTTTTTTGCAGCAATGGCAGGAAATATTATCCCTGCTATAGCAACAACTAATGCAGTGATTGCTGGCTTGATAGTGCTGGAGGGTTTGAAGATTTTATCAGGAAAAATAGACCAATGTAGAACGGTAAGTGAGATAACATTTTTGCTTTTGTTTTGAAGTTATTCATTATACATTTGATCCTGATTTTTTGCCCTTTTCTTCCTTAAAGATTTTTCTGAACAAACAACCAAACCCAAGAAAGAAGCTCCTTGTTCCTTGTGCATTGGATCCTCCAAATCCCAATTGTTATGTGTGTGCAAGTAAACCAGAAGTGACAGTGAAACTTAATGTACACAAGGTTACTGTGTTGACATTACAGGATAAGGTAAAGACTCTGAAACCTTAACTGTCATTTTTAACTTAGACTTTTGTCTATTTTGATTTAAATATTTATATCTGAGATTAAGCACACTTATTGTACAACAAAATGTTGTTAAAGTTTTAACCCTTTTTTATTAAGGTATATCAAAATTAGCAATTATGGTACTTGAAGAAAGGGGAACACAAATTAATTTGATATACTTTTTAATTTGCATTTTAAAATCTGTAAGGGAACTCTTTAAAAATATTTTCAGAGTTTAAATTATTTATATTTAGGTTTTCATAAACCCCACTTATTAGAAACAAAGCCTAAATTTTAAGTTTAAAATATCCTAAAAGTTGATTAAAAATTGATTTGCTATTCTAAGAAATAAATGCGTTGAAAAAGCTCTCAGTAGTCAATATATTGTAGTTTTTCTTGAAAATGCTTTCCAAATATAAGATTGTAACAATTTTAATATCCTGTCTTTCAATGAGTATCTTAAAACGAGGTTTTACGAAAACCTACCTGAACACCTAAAAGAGGGTCTTAGTTACATACTGCAGACATTTATTTTTTATTGACTGGGTTTTGTGGTTCCTCTTGTGGTGAGGACATTTAATATGACCGGATGAAATAAATATTGATTTTTAATAGGCTTTAAATGCAAATATCTCACAAGATATGGGAGAGAAGAAGAAAATCACGCTTGTTTTAGGGGGAAATTCCATTTTTCCTGTATTAATGGTCTTAAAATAAGAGTATTCAATATTTGTCATTCTTTTATTCTTTCAGATAGTGAAAGAAAAATTTGCTATGGTAGCACCAGATGTACAGATAGATGATGGAAAAGGGACTATTCTCATATCTTCAGAGGAGGGAGAAACAGAAGGTATGTTCATATTAACTTTCTGGTTCATTTGAAACTTTGTTGAGTCCAGATGGCCTACTATAGTATTGTTTGAAACACTTTATTATTAATCCTGTACATTATGCACAAATGTAAAAAAATATATTAAGGAGTAAGCTGGATGCAAAGGGACCAAGAAACTGAATTTAAATGTTTCTCTATTCCTTTATTGTTCTGTTTTTTCAAGGTATTGGAAAGATCATAAGGGTTTCAATGCATAAATAAAAATGAATGAGAAGACTCTGAATCTTCTGACTTTTTAAACTTTACTTACAACATGTTAAAATATGTGTACCTTTTTGAAGTAATTTATATTTTAGTTAACATTTTATTTGAAGTAAATCAAATTTACTTGATCGTTCTCATTTTCTTACTGTGAATTACTTGTTTTAAAAAGCAAATTTCTATTCTTTAAAGTAGGTCTGTCAAGCTATTAAAAAAATTTAATCACGATTAATCGTGTGTGTCTCCCCATTGAAACTCTGTGGTGGCGTTTCAACGGGGCAGCGCATTAGGAGCCTGGGATCAGCTGGGGACTCCAGCTGATTCCCGTCTCTGCTTGCGCTGCCCCTTTGAAGTGCCAAAATGGTACTTTAAAGGGGAAGCGCAGCATTAACGCCTGCAATTAACACATTAAAAAATTAATGCATTAATCCTGTTCTGTGTTAATCACAGGCGTTAATGCAGGTCAATTAACTTTAAAGTACTAGTACTTACGTTTGTAAAAATTCTGACAAATATTTCATGATTTTCATAGCAAATAACCACAGGAAATTATCAGAATTTGGAATTCGGAATGGCTCTCGACTACAAGCAGATGATTTCCTGCAGGACTATACCCTGTTAATCAATGTGCTTCATAGGTAAAGATTTTGGTACATTTATTTTTCTTACATGAGCTATTACATAGAATACACTAGGGGGCTGCACCCCCTGCTCGCTACATGTGCCACATGCCCCACCCTTTCCCCCCTCTGGTTGCTATGCGTGCCAACCACCCTTCCCCCTCCCCCAGCCACTACGCGTGCCAACCCCTCCCCCTCTTGCTACACACCCTCTTATTTTCACCTGTGGTGGGTGGGTGTAAAACAGGTCCTTGAAACATTTTAGTACAGGTGGGACCTGCCTGGTCCAGCACACTCAAGACCTGAGTGATCCCAAACCACAGAGTTTGCCAGACCAGGGAAGGTCCCCTCCAGCCCTGCTTCCCGTCGCCAGCCCTGCCGCCCCCACCCCTGCCAGGATGCACTCCTCTCAACCAGGGGCGCAAGTCCAGCTGCTCTCCTGGCCTCTGACCCCGCTGCCTCCAGCCAGGCTGAGACTCCATTTCCCACTGCTCTGGTCTGGGCGGGGCTACTCTCTTGCATGTCAGCCCCACTGTTTTTAGCCCTACTGCCTTTGCCCTATGCCTGGCAGGAGATGCTGGCTTTGCAGAGGCGACTCATTGGGTAAGTGTGCGTGGGAGCAGAGCTGCTTCCCCATCCCTGCTGCTTCCCATCCAGATGCCTCTGGCCCTGCTTCTGCTTTCAGGTCCTGGGCCCTGTCGCTCCGAAACCTGCCGGAAACTGCTGCCGCTGCCACCTGGCCTTGGCCATTCAGCAGAGTGGGGGCCGGAGGCGACGGGATGGGGAGCAGCAGAGCTCGCTGATTTGCCCAGCAGCCATTGCCTATTAGGGAGCCGGGGCAGAAGGCTTCCAGGCCACAGGAGCCGTAGCCTGGCAGCAGTTGAGGGAGCTGGAGCCGCTTCCTGTCGGGGCAGCAAGGAGCTGCTGCCATCCCCTGACCCTCCTGAAGGGGAGCCAGGGGCCAGAGGGGAGTCCAGGGTGCACACGGAGGAGGGGCCAGGAGAATGACCAATCTAGGCTGGGACTCCTGCCCTCCAAAGCCCCCAGGCCCTGCCCCTCCACCATTCCCAGTCTTGCTCCTCAGAGAAGAGGGGAAAATCGCCCCAGCAGTGAAGGGTTCCCATCCTGCCCCGAGACATGGACATTGTTTCCCCTTCTGACTCTGCTGAGGCGGGGGGGGGGACACGACTCAGATGACATGTTGAGGTCACTCTGTCATTCTGCAGGAAAAATGTTTTTATATATAGAGAGAGAGATTGTAAGGTGAATTTTAAACGCAAAAGTTTAAAACATAAATAACTAAAATCATATGGAAACTTTGGTAAGGGAACAACTGTCTCACGATTGGATTGAAATAATTGACAATTTTACTGCAAGAACCTCAATAGATCTTAGTTTAAATAATTCTATGAAATACAAACAAGTATGCAACATATGCTGAAAATAAATGCAATTGGTGGATCTCAAAGGAGAAAAGAGGTATAGCTATTATATTAAAAACTACTAAATGGAAGATCAGTGATTACTTTACTACCTGTGATTAGAAAAAGGGACTGCAGGTTTGGTGCCCAAAATCGGTAGTCAGTTGAAAATGGTGGGTTATGTTTTTCAATGTATAGAATGCTCTTGAAAATAAAGTAAATATAATTGTGGGGAAACTGATAAAATTCTTATAAAATAGATTCAGACACTCGGCATTTGTGATGAACACAGACAGTGGGTATTTAAATTGAAGGGAATGATTAGGAAAAGAATTCCAATGACTATTTCCCTCAATATTGTTCTTATTTGAAGAGTAGGTCAGGCCATTGAAGCAAGGTATGTATGTGAATACAAAAAGCATGTCAGGTCTGGAGGGACTTTGATCAGCTTTTGTATTTATTATCATTCTGTAATAATTACATGTTGGTCTGTTAGTAATGGTGTCATATATGGTTTTCATTATGAAAATACCAATATGGATGCTTATTTGTTTGATTAAAAGCATATGGATTTTTCCACAGTGAAGATCTAGAAAAAGATGTAGAATTTGAAGTTGTTGGAGACGCTCCTGAAAAAGTTGGCCCCAAACCATCAGAGCCAGTTTCTAAGAACATTACCAATGGTAGTGATGATGGAGCACAGCCATCGACTTCAACAGGTAAGAATAGTTATGCAATTGAATTAAATATCTCCTTTTACTAGACATCTACTTGTTTGATTGTGCACTACAAGTAAAACATTAAAATAAAGTGTCCTTTACAGGATGACTTAGTTTTCAGTTAGTTTTTCTAATGTGAAATGGCAGTGGGGCCCAAGTTACCTATTATGAAAGCTTCTTATGTGCAGGGCTCACCGAGCGGCGGTGAGCCCTGCTCATCAGCCGCGCAGTTCAGCACTCTGCGCATGCGCAGATTGCGCCGCACCGGTTCTTCCACGGTGTAATCTACACGCAATGGGAGAGTAGATTACACTATTTGTCGAGCCCTGCTCATGTGTATATAACATATAAATAGTAAAAATGCACCTTTGAGACTATCATTAAAAATGCTAGTATTTTATCTTAAATATAAACTTTAAATCTAAATTATTTGAATAGTTTGTCTTATAAGGAAGATACTTAACTGCAAATAATTTTGTAGGCATAGAACAGATAAAGGACTAGTATCATTTGCAATTGTATAAAATAGGTTTGTCATATCATACTGTATTTTGGTGAATAAATAAAATTATTTTATGAACTCACACAAAGCAAATAGTTCCTCTGTTGCAGTTTTTTAACCAGTTGGTGCTGGCAGTAGTTTGACCCAAAAAATCAATTGTGAACACAAGTGCGTTTGCACACGCACACTAATAACATCTAGCTCTCTTAAATTTTATAGTGCTTTTCATCAGCAGATCACAGAGCAGTTGCATTATCCCCATTTTACAGATGGGGAAACTGAGGCATGGGCTGGGGGGGGTGTGATTTTTTTTTTCCCCTAAGGTCGGTCAGTAGGGCAGTGCCAGGGCTGAGTATAAAACCAAGTCCAGTGTTCTGGGTACTAGGACATACTGCCTCCTTTTTCCTCACTATAAGCAAAGCATGGTGAAAGCAATATTTGCTAACCAAAAAAATCCTTATCTTCACCTTCAGTTTTAGAATGTCTGTCTGAGAAAGTATCTTCAATAGTTCTAAGAAATAACTCAAATGGATATAGAACGCTAAAATTCTATAAATATTAAAATATTTGAAGCTTCTTACTGTGCACTCAGATATAGCACCAATTGTATGAAACTGAAAGCTTATGAGTAGAAATTACATATTTTTTATTTATAGTTTTTGGGGAAATTTGTATTTTTTGGTCATGTCCAAACATATGTGCAAAAAAGTGTGATCACTTTTTCTAAATTAAGAAAAAATATTAGGACATACTCAGAACTATTTCAAATTTAGATAGAGGCAATTTTTATAAATACTTCAAAAAAACTTTCTACCACATACTCTCATAGAAAACAGTATTCTTAAAAGGTGAATGTCCTTTTTTAAATGTGTCCTTTCTGTTCTCCTCTTTAGGTCTTCCATTGTCATCTTTTAGCTCTTTGTTAAGCTTCCCATCTATTCTTTCTATTCCTGATTCTTTTTCACTCTTATGAAATATGACTGTTAATAGATGTTTTAATTCATTCTCAAAGAGTAAAAGTTGAAGATGGACTCAAATGTGTAATTATTCTTGACTTAATACACCTGCCCATAGAGCATATATATGTTTTTATACTGACTTTGCATGTGCACAAACATCTTGCCAATTAACCTTTATCCCAATAAAAAATAGTGGGTATGGGGAGGTGGAAATGGTTTGTCAAGAAACAATGACTGCATTTTTGTCACGGAAAGCGTTTTTTTGGTTTTGTGCTAAATGAAACAGCCAGTTTTTAGAACACATCAATTGATTTTTTTTTTTTAGCTCCAGATCAAGATGATGTATTAATAGTTGATTCTGATGATGAAGATCCTTCAACCAATACTGATGATATGGAAAATAAAAACCGCAAGAGAAAACTAGAAGATAGAGAGCATGTCAGTACAAAGAGAATGCGTACAGACCAGACAGAAGAGCAAGATGACATAATAGCACTAGATTGAGTGCAAATACCCAATGAGAGAAAGATCTAGATAATGTAATACAATAAGATGTTACTTTGGGGTGTGTTAAATGTCCAGAACTAGACTATTTTTATGGCCTTTGTTCCCAGGGGAATCACATCATTAGATGACAGAATTTGTGTCCATTCCTCTTGATGGCAAAGCACTAATTTCAATAGAATCTTAGAAGTTTTCCAATATGCTATATTAAATGTAGTAGAAACTTAGTTTATAAATACTTAAACATAAGTATTTGCTTAAACAGTCATGAAAACAAAGCATGTTATTTTTATGTAAATACATTTAGCTATAATTCATTAGGACAAAAAATCCTGTAGTAAAAGGGTCATCATTTGAAACCCAGATTTATAAACATTAGATTTTTATTTTGGCTAGACAAAAATATATTTAGCCTAGATCTAACCATTTTTCACACCCTTAAATAATCTGAGATAGCAGATTCTTTGAAAGAAAAGAAATATGAAGTGCTATGTTTAAATTCTGATCTTAAACATCAACTGGCACTGTGTATATTACTGTAAAACAATGTTAATTTACTCAAGTTTTTCAGCACGTACTGCCTGGTATGTCAATGTAAGAAGCAAATTTTGTGTATTGTTACAGTTTCAGGTTATTTATATTTGATGTTTTGTAAAACTCAAATAATACTACTATACTGTACATCTCATGGACCAAATAAATGACATCTGAAATACTTGCTATATCAGTTTGCACAGTCCAAGTTTATGTGGAATTTTTGGATAATTTACAATGTATACAGTCTTCAAAAATTAATACTGTACTATTTTAATTTTTAAAACAATCTCATCGTACAGAACTTAAAAATTCATTTGAGGTGGAAGGGGAATTTTTTAATAAAACTTTTGTCAGTATTTTTTCCTGGACAATGTTATTGGACTATTCAGTGTGAGTATTTGAACCACCTTCTTTCAGGTTGTAATCTCCAATGGATATTGCCACTTCATGGGTTTGGAAAGGGCTGGCACTGGTCTTCATGTGATTCATTAGATTACACTAAAGCTACAGCTGTTTTGGATTTCTTTCTAACAAGAAGTTCTGTAGTTCAGTTTGGTATTTAAAAAACTACTGTGTAGTAAATAAGTTTTGGAACAATATTTTGAAAGTGTTACTTTTTTGTTCATTTCAGTAGCACCCAACATTTGTAATATGTCTGCAACATATTTCAATCTGAGTAGATTTTGCACCCTAAATAAGGATTTCTACTATTTTGCCTAAGTTATTTTCAAAATGGAAGACCATCTAGCTTAGTGAATTAATACTGTTTGCTTCAGTATGTCCAATGTTCGTACTACAGAGCCAATAAAATTAAACCAATTAGGTTTGTTGTTACAGTTTGCACATGAACCGAATTTTAAATTATCTACAGAATCTGTTGATTATAATGTGCAATACAGAAATAAGACTACCTAATGTTCAGATTCCTGGTGTATCTAGGCTGTGGCATCAACATAAGGTACTTTTCATCTGTAAACAGCAAATTATGTTGATGCCAACAAAACAAAAAGTACAGGATTTCAGAATACCATGTTTAGTCTTTTCATTTTATAATTTTGATGATTTCTCAATTCAGATATCCAAATATGAAATTCCAGACTAGATGTTTAGTCTTTTTCTTAAGTTAATAGGACTGAATGTGATGCTAAGTTGAAAATGACATGATCCAAAAGTGTTTTTAATCATGCCAAAGTAATATCCATTTGAAGATCCCTCACTGAGGGATAGCTCAGTGGTTTGAGCATTGGCTTGCTAAACCCAATCCTTGGGGGCCATTTAGGGATCTGGGGCAAAAATCTGTCAGGGATAGTACTTGGTCCAGTTGTGAGGGCAGAGGACTGGACTGGATCACCTCTCAAGGTCCCTTCCAGTTCTATGAGATAAGTATATCTCCATATATTCTATAGAGAAGCAATATTGAAAAAGGACTAATGTTCTTGATGTTTTGCTTCTGTAGCTTTCTGTGTGCATAAGGAATTTAAATTCAAGAGTACAGACAATGTGTCTTTGAAGTCCTTGTTAAAAAAGAATCTGTAGTCTATCATGAATATATGTTCAGATGTAAATCTTTCTTTACAAGGCGTGTCAAAAGACATTTAGTGGCAATACTGCCGATTGTGATCTATATTTTAGAGCTTTCCAATCATGCCACAATCAGAAACTCATGCCCTATAGGCTGACAGCGTGTGTCAAAGATGCTGTAAACTTGCTTGCTAGCAATGACTGGTATGCAAGACTTTAAGGAAATATTTACTATTTGTACTTATCAGGGAAAGCCGCAGTTTTCATTAACTTTCTGGTGTCAAGTTCACTCATGTTGAGGGGTTGCTTTTCATCGCTTGGAATATTAATTTGGTATGAGCCAAATGGCTAAGATTTTCCTTTAAACATAAGCAACTTTGCAACAGAATTGTCATGGACAATGGAACTTTGGGGCCATAGCTCTCAATTCTCTGCTCTAAAAATTGGATGTATTTTCTTGAGGGACTTTTTGTCACCACTATCCATTTTATTTAGTTGTCAAAGAACATTCAAAGGCATCAGTCTTGCAGACTGGAAGGCTGGGAAGGAGACAAAAGAGGGAGGACCCAAACTCATTCTGTGCTTCCTTGGTCACTGAACAGTAAGAATGGCCACATTGAGTCAGGCCAAAGGTCCATCTAGCCCAGTGTTCTGTCTGCCAACAGTGGACAATCCCAGATACCCCAGAAGGAGGGATCATAACAGGTAATTCTCAAGTGATCCCTCACCTGTCACATACCTCCAGAGAAACAGAGGCTAGTGACACCATTCCTAACCATCCTGGTTAATAGCCATTGATGGACCTAACCTCTATGAATCTATCTAGCTCTTTTTTGAACCCTGTTAAAGTTCTAGCCTTCACCACATCCTCTGGCAAGGAGTTCCACAGGTTGACTATGCGCTGAGTGAAGAAAACTTCCTTTTGTTTGTTTTAAACCTGCTGCCTATTAATTTCATTTGGTGACCCCTAGTTCTTATATTGTGGAAATAAGTGTATAACTTTTCCTTATTCACTTTTTTCCATATCAGTCATGATTTAATAGACCTCTATCATATTCCCCCTTAGTCTCTGCTTTTCTAAGCTGAAAAGTCCAAGTCTTTTCTCTCTCAATATGAGACCCCCATTCCAAAATCCATAATCATTTTTGTTGCCCTTTTCTGAACCTTTTCCAATGCCAATATATCTTTTTTGAGATGAGGCAACCACATCTGTACGTGGTATTCAAGATGTGGATGTACCATGGTTTTATATAGAGACAATAAGATATTCTCTGTCTAATTCTCTATCCCTTTTTAAATGAATCCTAACATTCTATTTGCTTTTTTGCCTGCTGCTGTGCACTGAGTGGATGTTTTCAGAGAACTATCCACAATGACTCCAAGATCTCTCTCTTGAGTAGTTGTAGCCAAATTAGTCCCATCATAATGTATGTATAGTTGGGATTATTTTTTCCAATGTGCATTACTTTACATTTATCAACATTAAATTTCATTTGCCATTTTGTTGCCCAATCACTTAGTTTGGTGAGATCTTTTTTAAGCTCTTCACAGTCTATTTTGGTCTTAATTATCTTGAGCAGTTTGGTATCTTCTGCAAATTTTGCCACCTCACTGTTTACCCCTTTCTCAGTCTAGATCATTTATAAATAAGTTGAATAGGATGGGTCCCAGGACAGACTCTTGGGCGACTCCACTAGTTAGGCCATTTATACCTACCCTTTGTTTCCTGCATGGGGAATTTGTCTGAAGGACAAGGATATGTGGAAGGCTGAAAATTTCCAGTGCAGTGCCACAGAAGGGCCAGTAAATACTTGTGAAAGCAAAAGAGGTTCAAATAACCTAAAGTTCTTGTCCATGAAATGGTTTCTACCTATTTTATGGCAGTCATTTCACTCATCACTGAAATGCAGACATATAAGTAAAGCAGCATGGCATCGGATTAATAGCCCAGAGCTTCTCTATAATAAGGCAGATATGATATTAAGTGAAGCAGAATAGATTATTCCATTGAAAATGCAGAGGAACAGATTAGTTAAGCATGATTTCCCTTTACAGAATCCATGTTGATTTTCCCCCAACAAATTATATTCATCCATGTGTCTGACAATTTTTTTATTCTTTACTATAGTTTCATCTAATGTACCTGGTACTGACATTAGACTTACTAGTCTGTAATTGCCAGGATCGCCTCTGGAGCCCTTTTAAAATATTGGTGTCACATTAGCTATTTTCCAGTCATTGGTACAGACTCTGATTTAAAGGATAGGTTACCAACCACAGTTCATAGTTCCACAGTCTCCCATTTGAGTTCTTTCAGAACTCTTGAGTAAATGCCAACTGTTCCCTATGACCTGTTACTGTTCAGTTTATCCAAAACTTCCTCTAATGACACTTCAATCTGGGACAATTCCTCACATTTGTCACCTAAAAAGGATGGGTCAGGTTTGGAAATCTCCCCAATATGCTCAGCCGTGAAGACTGAAGCAAATAATTAATTTAGTTTCTCTGCAATGACTTTCTCATCTTTAAGTGCTTCTTTTGTAACTCCATCGTCCCAGGGCCCCTCTGGCTGTTTAGCAGCTTTCTGCTTCCATTAGACTCTTTTTCATTTGATTGTCTCATCTGATCCAACCAATACTTCCATCCTCTCCTCCTGACTAGAACATAAAGCATCTCTATTAATAGAACTTCCCCTAATAGATGTGTCTGTCCGATCCATATGCTCCTCCACACCTGTCATCTTTCCCCCAGACCTTAGTTTAAAAACTGCTCTACAAGCTATCCCCAAAGTTTCCCCAGTTCCTAATAAATCTAAACCCCTCCTCTCTACACCATCGTCTCATCCATGCATTGAGACTCTGAAGCTCTGCCTGCCTACCTCACCCTGCACGTGAAACTGGAGGCATTTCAGAGAACTCTACCATAGAGGTCCTGGCTTTCAGTCTCTTTCCTATCAGCCTAAATTTGGCCTCTAGAACCTCTCTCCTACCCTTCCCTATATCATTCGTACCTGCATGTACCATGACCACTGGCTCCTTCCCAGCACTACACATAAGACTCTAGATGTTTTGAGAGATCCACAACCTTTGCACCAGGCAGGCAAGTCACCATACAGTTCTTCTAGTTGTCACAAACCCAGCTATGTTTCTAAAATGATCAAATTCCCCATTATTAACAACTGTCTTTTCCTAATGACTGGAGTTTCCTAATGATCAAATCCCCCATTATTAACTGTCTTTTCCTAATGACTGGAGTTTCCTCCCCTGGAGATGTATCCTCAGTACAAGAGGATACCATAACATCCTCTGGAAGGAGGATCCCAACTGTAGGATAGTTTCCCTCTGCTCCAGTTGAATGTTCTCCTTCCCTGAGCCTTTCACCCTCAACAGCACTGGAGCTGCCTGACCAGAGGTGGGACAGTTCTACAGTGTCCCGGAAAGTCTCATCTACGTACCTCTCAGCTCTCTTAGCACCTCCAATTCGACTACCCTGGCCTCCAAAGCCCGTACGTGGTCTCTGAGGACCAGGAGCTGCTTGCACGGAATGCACACATATGCCACCTGCCCACAGAGCTGGTAATCATACATGCTACATAGAGTGCAATACACAGGATAGCCCCCACTCTGCTGCTGGGCTTCTGCCTGCATTCTCTCCTACAGCTACTTAGGATATTGACAGGGTTTTTATTTAAATCAGGAAATTTTCTTTTTAGTTTAGTTTAAAAGTTTTAAAGAATGGCAAGTGTACCTCACCCCCTTCCAACTACCTCTCAAAACTCCCTGTTAGCTGCCCCAGGTCACTTACTCATGGGCTCTGATTAAGGCTTGGCCTTCCT